TGTACCGTATGTTGGCATTAATAGCTTTGAAGAAGGGTGCTTAGCTTCTGAAATATGGGCGCAAGAGAAATCCTAAGTTTTGTCCATTTAGACTTTCTAATTTAAGTTTGGTTCCAACTTTTGAAACCTTTGTTACATTCTATTCATGTGTAAATATAATTGAAGAATTGTTTCTGGTGATATAGGCTTATACCTTATAATTGTTGGTTTGAACTGATATAATCTTGCTTAGTATCTTCTGTCTTTGTTTCTTTTCCTCATTAGTTGGTTTACATAACTCTAAAGCTATCATAGTCGTTAATATCGTAAAATTTATGACTTGTACACTGGATGACAGGGTGGTATTGACCTATTATAATATTTGATTTAATTAACGAATAGTCATAACCATTTCAAGACATGAAAATTATAGCTCACAAAGGGATGCAGGAACAAACATTGAGTGATTTCTAAGATTTGATGCTCATATATTGTTATCAAATATTGCAAAAAAGACAAGAAAATATACAATGGTATAAACTAGACATTAACTTTACAATCTCTTTGTTGACACATGAAAACCTTTGTTCAGATTTTTATTTTAAATTTTGCTTGTTACTCTTCTGATGATATTATATTGTTTGTGATTCCTTATAAGGTGAGGTTTATGGTCAAGGAGGAGATGATTTGAAGCTTGAAGTATCTATTGTTTTCTTCTTAAACTGCAAGCAGGTTGGTTATTATTTTGCACCATGTGGCAAACCTTACCCTGATAACTGGATAATTACTGATATCATATATGAAGTTGAAGGATCAGTGCCCTCGCGGTAAGCATTTTCCACTATGGACCATTTAATTTGTTCGACAATATGTATACATGAATAAATCTCTTTCCCTGTAATCAGTATTAAAACTACTATAACAGTGATTACTTTTAACTAGCATAACACTTATTCTTGTAGGTCAGGGAATCAGGTTGAAGGAAATCCAGGAGCTACGAGCGAAGATGAGACAGTAAACTATTTGCTACTAGATTACGGTCGTTGATCTGCATTTTATTGTTAAGGTCTAACAATTGCATAATGTACCCGTAATTGTGAAAGGTAACATATCATTCTTTATCTTGGTGCAAGAACTGCCTTGAGCCCAGAGTGAACATAACAAGAGCTCCACAGGTATACCTGGTCAATTTAGTAAATCTTGTGGATGCAAGCACCTTTGTATTTTTATGATGATTTGAAAAACTTTCAATCTTCTGGATACTCAACGCATCATATGTATCTGAGTGGGAGTTTAATGAGCTATCTGAGCTGAGCTGTATAACATTTTTTATTCCATATTTCTCTCAAACTGTTTTATAATAAAAAGGGGTATTTATTTGTGTACCGAATAGGTAAAACATGTGAGGCATTATCCATCTAATACGATGAGTATGTTTGCTAGGTTTTAATATTATATATCCTAAGTATGACATAATTATTGAGAGTTTGAAATAGTAAACTTTTTCTTGCATATTGCAGTCAGAGCATGATGGGTCAGATGTACAAGTGGAGTTGAATATTGAGCATCATAATGAAGATATAGTCCCCAATATGACAAGGTCACCCAGAGTCAAATACATAACTTATTATGAAGACCCATAAAGCATTCCCGGAAGAAAGACAACAGTTTGAGAGCTTGATAAAGGTAGTTGACATTACATTTGATGTTTTTCTTAATAAATAACTTTCATAGAAGTATGATTTCAGATTATGTTGAATTGAATTTCCATGCTACTAATCATTTTTAAGAATATTAAATAGCCCAACATTATGGTTCTTGTGCTTATGGCTCGATGTCCGGTTAGGGATCTTATAAAAAATGGTTCTCTCTGGTTTTAGAAAAACGTTTCTTTTAACTTCCTGCATAATCTATAAAAATCAGAGTTATGGTAACTGGGGAACACCTCTTGTGCCTTCCTGCTAAACGACAATCAAAATAAATATTTAAAAACTTGTCTTCCATTCAAGGTTTAGCTACTTAGCTTGATTACTTTGTATTCCCCATTTCTCTATGTTGAGGGAGCATTATTACCATTTTCGAGTTAGTTGCATTCTTTCTATTTTTCTACCATTTCTTTTACAAGAAAATTGAGTTAACAATGTTAAGTAACATTCTTTGACTTCCACCTTATCACTACAAGTGGGTTAAACTGATATCATCTTCATGTAGTAAATCACAGGAGCATAGTTAGATTACTAGCTCTAATGCGAGAGTTATGGCTCCAAATTTGGCATTATATTCATGTTGATGCACCATCCAATTTTGTTACAAAAATGGCGTACTGCTTTACTTCTTTTCTCAAAGTTTAATTGAGTTTTACTCATTATAATAATGCTGATAGCTAAGCGAGGACCCTTAAGGGATGATGACTTCTATTGGGATTATGGAAAAACTCAGTGTGCATGACCTGAATACTGTGAATACAAGTTCCATATTTTATTTTATCTCCGGCTTTTCCTCCTCTTACCAATATCAGATTTTCATTACCTGTTGTTTGGTGATGTAAGTATGTCTTTGGGGATGTCCATTTGGGACAACTGTAGGTTAAGGAATTCTTCGGCCGATACACTCCGACATTATGTAAAGAATAGAAGGTAGGCTAACCACTTGTTTATCGTCCATCCATCAATATGAACAGATTTGTTGCTTCAGTTCTACAAAGTTTACTACTATTGTTCTCCTATATTGTTATAGTTCACACTTTGACAATAGTTATTTTTCAACGTGCATTGATTCGGCCTCCTTTACTGACATATTTTGTCTTTGCCCCAAATTTACATGCTGCCTGTTGAGGAATTCGGGTCCACAGTATGATAAACTCGTTAATATTACTGTAATATTCACTTGTTGGCATATATATGTCTGCTTATTTCAAACTACTTTATTTATTTACATACTTGCAATAATCTTATTATTATGATTAAAATTGGTCATTTTAGTACTCTTTGATAGTTATATACTTCACTTTAAATAAGTATAAATTATACTTATTTCATATTTTTTACTTAGGTTGGCGATGGAAAGGAAGAATACACGGATGATGACATTGATGATATTCGCAAAGAATGAGTATCTTATGTGGAAAACTTTATTATGCCGTGATATTTTGTATCGACATATGATTACAATATTTTTGATAACTTAATGTTAATATATTGTATGCAAATGGATTACTTACTTATATATAATATGATATATATATTTAGTATTATGAGGCATTAAATGTGATTTAGTTTGATTATTTGTCAATCTACAATATATATATATAATTTAATACATACAATCACGACACAAAAATGTGTGTCATCTTTTCTAATGACGTGTGCTTCAATGACATGCAATGTAAGTCATAAATGCGCGTCATAAATACGTGTCATAAATGCGCGTCATAGATTTATGGCGCACAATTACGTGTCATCTGAAATTTATGTAGGTGGCTTCAATGACGCGTATTTGTGTGTCATCTACACCCATAGATGACGCACAATGCGCGTCATTAAAGGGATTTTTTCTAGTAGTGATAACATAATTGTTGATGGAAATAATTAAGTAGGTCGTGTTTGTTCACTTCTTTTGATTTAGACGAAAAATTACAATTGATGGTTGTACAGTGGTTACCAGTTGATTGATGTCAAGAACCTTTGTTTTCTTGGAGAAATAGAATAAAAAGTGGAGAGTAATTCTAGATCCTCCTCTTATCGATGAGTTTTATAGTGATCCTTAGTACTTATGTCAGACATAAAATTATGATGACTACTCGTAAGTTGACATGTCTAATTTATATGCACAACTATTGATTGATTTTGATTTTAACTTACAAATAATATAAAGGGATTATGACTTTTATAAGAGGTGTAAAAGACAGAAAGACCTACGTATGGAGATATTCTCATAGAGTATCCGTTACAAATGAATTCTCTGACAATCTTAATGTATGATTACTTGTTTTATAGCAGAGGTACGATGATGGTACAATAAACTAGTAAAATTTATAATGAATAAATAAAAATAATAATAAATTTATTGTGTTTTGTAGTTATTGTACTAGAAATAATTTTGTTCGAATTGATGTAATCCTTAAAATTAGACATTGTCATATTCAAGAGGAACATAATCTTTTGAATTTCGTAGACTTAAAATAAGGAAATATTACTTTGAATTATGTTATTTTTTTCTTAGAAGAAAAATGGAACTTTTAATTAGTACAAAACATTAACGAAAAAATAGATTCTGAAAATCTTTACTCAAAAACAAATTACTCGTAAAGATATTAACGTAGAAAACGAGAGAATGAGTTAATTTAAAATACGTGTCCTCTGAAAAAAGATAAATTAAATCATACTTTAGGACATAATGATAGTTAAAATAAATACTCCGTAAGCCATTTTCTATGAAAAAAGAATGAAATATTTGTTGTACGAATCAAATTACTTTAATAGTTAAAAAATAATAATTATTTTTAGAAGTATTTAAGTTCAAACATTAAAGATTGTAGGACATATAAACCTTCATTGTCAAATAATAATAATAATGAAATACTTATTATCTGAACTCTCCCGTATATTTATCCCTGTCTAACTAAATGTGCTCTGGGACCGACCCCATTAAACCTATCCCACCCGCGTCCCTATATTTATACCGTGTCTCTATATTTATACCGTGTGGTGGGAACAATAGAGCATATTGGCCTAAAGTCGGACCACATATGAAATGGATTCCTGACTAAGAAACCGAAGCAATGTATAATTTGGACTTTAACAGCCTGTTTTTCAAGGAAAAAAAGCTCTGACTGTGATTTTTTATTCATGTTCTGATATATTAATTTAGATTAAATATTATTAAGATTTAGTATAAAGTAATTTATGTAATTATTTTTCTTTATTGGCAAGGCCAAGAATTAAATATATAACTTTATTTAATAAAACTTATTCTACTATTATATTCTTTTAATATATATATATAAAATAATAATGATAGAGATGGATCAAAGTGAGGATGGATAGAGACAATTGTCCCTCTTGAAAATTTCAAATTAATATATATTTAAAATATTTTTTTTGTATTTTCAATTAATAATCTGTCTTAGTCCACTAAAATTTTACAAGTTTACTTCCTCCTAAAAGTTCAGAAGTAAATCCCACTAATGTAAGATCATACGTTCAGTCATAATAATATATATTATTATAGCATTTTTAAGTTATAATAATTAACATTTGATCGATTGATTCATTATCTATTAATTCAAATAAAATACTATAATTTATCATGAAATAAAATTTTCAATCAAACTTAATATAATCAAATTCTAAAATTTATTATATCATTTTCATGTACACGGAAAATATAATGTGAAGGGTGTACTAATGAATTTTGCATGTACAACGTGTGGCATGAACATATTTGGCCATAAAGTCATGACGTATAGAACTAGGTTTAAAAATTGATGTGATCGCTGCCGACTTTACTGACTTTAGGGCAAATCAAAGACTGCAGAAAATTCTTAAAATCAAATAAATATGGAACACAACATGAACCTTGTCTAGTTATAAACAGAAAAAAACGTATAATTTTATATTGAGATTAAATTTATAAAATTTAAAAATATGTTAATTTATAAAATTTTAGATAACGAAAATAAATTTTCAATTGAAAAATATATAAAATATAACCCACTCTTCCCTTGAACCATCCCTAGACGTAAATCTCACGGGTCTTCCTATAAAGAAAGGTCATGCATGGCTTCACAAACAAACTCTCCCAATCCTCAAAATGGCTTTTGTTAGGCACATTGTGGCAGCTCTTTTCTATGTCGTTTTACTCGAGAGATCGGTATCTTTCGCCCAAGACCAACTTACTCCAACATTCTACGACCAAACTTGTCCCAACGTTACCAACATCATACGAGGAATCCTCCTTAATGCTGCCATTAATGATCCGAGGATCACGGCCAGCCTAGTTAGGCTTCACTTCCATGATTGTTTTGTCCAAGTACAACGACCTTTTCGTAACATTTCGTACTTCTATTATTAGATCTCGGGTTTGATTTCATATTAGTTATGTTTTTTATTCTCAGGGTTGTGATGGTTCGATCTTGTTGGATGATCCGGACACGACCGAGAAAGTAGCTCTTCCGAACAATAATTCGGCTCGGGGATATGAGGTTATTGATCAGATGAAGGCGGCGTTGGAGAATGTGTGTGCGCAAACTGTTTCGTGTGCTGATATCTTGACCATTGCAGCTGAAGAATCTGTCGTTCTGGTAAGCTATAAAACTCCCTCTCGGCTGTTTATTGTGTTTCGTTTGATGCTTCGTGTTGAACTTACTAGCTCGATGATTATGCAGGCAGGGGGGCCGTCATGGAAAGTTCCTTTAGGAAGATTGGATAGCCGTTCCGCAAATCGGAGTCTTGCTAATACAGCGTTGCCTGGTTTCAATGAACCACTTGACGACATCAAAGCCAAGTTTGCCGCCGTGGGGCTTGACACCAGTGTTGATGTGGTTGCCCTCTCAGGTAATTTTTTAGGGAGTAAAACTATTATTACCATGTCACATTAGACACATATTTTTAATTTTAACAACAGGGTAACAAGTTTATAATTGAACTAATAATTCAAGTGTTGACCTGGATGTATTTTATCCTTATAAAATTTTGTACGAAAAAAATCCCTCAAATTTGGTGTACAAATATTTAATTTCAGGTGCTCACACATTTGGCCGAGCTCAGTGTTTTACTTTCGACCAAAGATTGTACAATTTCAGCGGCACCGGAGATCAAGATCCGGACCTGAACGAGACACTGGCGGCGAGACTACGCGAGATATGCCCCACCGTCGGCTTGACCAATCTGACGAACCTTGATCAAACAACGCCGGACGTTTTCGACAACACTTACTTCAAGAACCTTCAGGTCGAAGAAGGTCTTCTCCGAAGCGATCAGATTCTGTTCAGTACCCAAGGGGCCGACACGGTTGGAATCGTTAACGACTTCAGCAGTAACCAAACCGCTTTCTTTGAAGACTTTGTGGAATCCATGATACGGATGGGGAATATTAGGCCACTGGCTGATGTGATCGGAGAGGTGAGACTCAACTGCAGAGTCGTCAATGCTAATATTTCGATCGCGGCGACCGATGCGGAGGATGCTCGGCTTGTCAGCTCGACTTAGACAAAAGTGTAGTTACCATGTGTGTGCTACAGACAAGAAGAATAATTTGCGATGGACGAGTGATTTCACGAGATTATCATCCTCCTTCCAATAAAAAATACATCTAATAAGATGTATAACTTCATCACTTTTACGTTTTATGATATTGTTTTCCGATGTAAAGTTAATATCTTATATCTTCCTAAGACGTAACACAAAATCTATTTTAAGGTTTTTTTAAGTTTATGGTAAAGTGTATAAATAATCTCTCGATTATAAAATATTATTTTATTAAGTTTTTAACTATTAAAAGTTATAAAATGACCATTCGACTATTCATATGTTTTAAACTCATTATTTTTTTAAAAAAAATTGGTGACAATCTAAGCTAGACGTTAACCTGCTGATTGAGATATATTAAAATCTGATCTAGAATCTTAAATGACTATCATATCTTAGTCAACATGTTAATATTCAGCTCAGACGACCGTCATCTTTGTATTTTTTAATAATCGATAGATCTACAGAGTGACTCCCTATATTTAAAGGATGATTTTATAACTTTTAATATCAGTAAACTTAATAAAGCAACCATTTGTGTATTTTTAGCACTAAATAATTTAATCGGATATCTTTAGCACTGAATCTGAATGGATCCAAACTAAATTTGGCCCAAATTCACTAAAGCGGGTCAACCCAATTCGATTTAAATCAAGTTAATAGTCAACATTAGTTCCAACCAACAAGATCCATACACGTCATCATTTTCCCACATGTAGACTTATTATTGGATGATATTATGTTACTCGAACGTGTCAACCGGCGAAGAAAACTTCCCTCCCTCTTCAAAAAGCCCGATTCCAACCCTCCCTTTAGAATTCCTTCACAATACAAAACCGCTAACTTTCCGATTAGATCTGAAAACAGTTTCCTCCACCGTGGCGCCGTCGGGGCCGCAAGCACTCTCTCGCAGAAAACCATCTCAGCCGTCAAGTCCAGGTGCGAGCAGAGAAGATCGAAAAGAACAATTTAGAAAGAGTACGTCGATCGATTATCCATTTTGGCAGCAGAATTGGTTCATTGGATTGTTATTCCTGATGGCGATTGGAATCTTAGGTTTTGGTCTCTTCTTCTTACTCACAACCGGTTTCGATACAGACTCTCCTTCCTCCGCCTCCGCTGCCTCCTTCTCCTCCCAAAACGTCGAGGTTTTTAAAAATCACTTTTCAATGATCTCTCATGCTTTTTCTCTTTAAAAATGATGTTTTGTTTCTTAAATTCATTAAATAAAATGAATGCGATCAGATTACTTATGGGACGGTCCTAAAGCTAATGCACGAGAAAACGAAAGTTAGGCTACATTCACACGAGGTGCCGTACGGTTCTGGAAGTGGACAGCAATCCGTTACTGGCTTTCCTAGTGTAGATGACTCCAACAGCTACTGGGTACTCTCTTGTCCCTCTATTACCACCTGTTTTTCATCTTTGATCTGATTTTCTGAAGTAGTTTCCGAGAATTTTATTTTTGTTGCAAATGTTGTGTTTTTTTCAAAATATTTGTTGATGGTTAATCTAGTGGACCAATGAAAAATCTCAAGCTAATAGTAAACATTTTTGTTTGTTTCAATCACGATTAACCATATGCATATATCATTGTTTGTTTTTTTCATTAAGAATTTATATGATATGGTTCAAGAACATGAAATTCTTTGTTTCTGCAATTTCTATGTTTATGCTGACCAGTGCTATTGTTTTGTTTCTACATTTCTTTTCTTATATAATTTGAAATAATTTGATAAAGTTTGGATTCAAGTTTGGGCTTTTACTACTTTGCAATCAAAATCTTGACCAATCAAAATGCTTTGCAGATTGTTAGGCCTGAACCTGATACATCTGCTAAACAAGGTGATACCATTCCTGATGGAGCAATTATTAGGTTGCAACACATGAGGACTAGAAAGTGGCTGCATAGCCATCTGTATGCATCTCCAATATCAGGAAACCTAGAGGTTAGCATTTTTTACGGTTTCAATGGCCGATCTTAACTTAAACTTCTCAAACTTTGTCAATTTTTAAGCTAATGTTCATTTATGTTGGTAAACCGTGGCGCTTTCTAAAATTGGTTAACAGATGAATAATAGCTTTCAAAGTAGTGTCCATGCTTTCAATCATGCAAACTTACTGATAATGACCTTATCCTGTGGTGTTGGGTTTAGATTAGCTGCTTTGGAGGAGAGTCCGAATCCGATACTGGTGATTACTGGAGGTGAGACAAACTTTTCTTTTGCCAAGTTTATGTTTATCTTTCTTGGTTTTCTGTTGCGCTGATGTTTCATTATTGGACAATCCTCTTCAGGCTTGTTATTGAGGGAAATGGGAAGACATGGAAACAAGATCAAAGGATCCGGCTTCAACATATCGACACCAGTGGTTACCTGCATAGTCATGACAAGAAATACTCCAGAATTGCTGGTGGACAGCAAGAGGTAAGAATGGAATTATCCTTTTAATATTAAACATAAAATACATATGCCTCTTTAGTCTATCATAAGTATTTAAGTAATGCTTTTTTTTCTTCTTTTCTCTCTACTAAATTTCAATCAAGGAATATATATATACTTTCTAAGCTCATCATTTAGTGTGAAAGCTGCACTTATTTATTCTATTATACTTTTCTAACATGGATTTCCTTTTATGAACTGTTAATGGTGAAGGCAGTTGACCAGAATGTATATTTCTGAATTAAATCGGCATTTGCTACTTGTTTGTATGTTAAACCATTACAACATTTCGGTGTAGGTTTGTGGCATTCGAGAAAAGCGTGCCGGTAATGTATGGTTGGCCGCAGAAGGTGTGTATCTCCCCATTACTGAAAGCAAGTAGTCTATACATATGTAAAAGCAGGTGCATGGGTTTTGGATTTTCAGGTGGACACTGCCTGCTTATTTAGTACCTTGCGAAACACTTTTCTTTGCTATATACACTATAATGCATGCTTATGCAACTTCGGATTATATGTATTGAGTAATTTTTTTCATTATAAAGATATTAAATTTCCTCTTTTTACAAAAAAAAAACTTTACCAGTATGAATGAGGAAAAGAGGATAAATATTGTAAGAAAAAAAATGTGAACAGTGTCTTAAACTGTGGCATTGCTCAACTCTGGTCAACAAATGTGACCTTGTTGAGGATATATACAATGTACAAAATGAGTTTGACACTGCATCAGCAATATGTGTAGGCAGATTAATCCATGGGGCATGGTAAACCAAGCTACTTTCCTTTATGAATCACGACAAAATGTCGTTCTGAATATGTTAAGATACCAACGAATGAAGAATGTTTACTCTTTGTTTGTTCACATGTGGCAAGGAAACTTTAACACCATGATTTTGACTTGTTCCAAATCTAAACCTGAGCTTGAGGGATAGTTGTTTCCATAAATTGGCAAATAGCGAAGGATGTATGGATTATTGAGAAGACAGAAATCATAGAGGTCTCCTCGAACCACCGAGATCATACGCAGAGGCGTGGCTGAGGGTGTGCAAAGTGTGCGACCGCGCAGGGGCTCAAAAAATAGGAGCCTCGAAATCGAGTATATCTATCAGTTGTTGTCATTAAGAAATCCAAAAAAATAGGGGTCCAAAAATCGAATATATCTATTAGTTGTCATTAAGAAGCTCCAAAAAATAGGGGTCCAAAATAAGTTCAAAATCTAATGGTTCCTTTATAAGAATTTGCACAGGATCTCCAACAATCTAGCCACGACCCTGATCCTACGAGTGAATAGATAGCTGGTAAAAGCTACAAATACATCTCTATTACTTTACTAGGTTACTTAAATTATCAAAAATAAATCAATGCATCACTGGCCAAATTTGATAAAATGTTGTGGCGGACAGGTATTATCTAGAGTGGGAATATTCATCTCAGACTATTCAAAAAATGGCAACTCAAATAAAATGTGAATAATCAATATTCTAATAAAATGCTTGCAAAGCGTCTATGAGACAATGCATATAAGGAATAACTCATGCACACTAATTTGACAATTCTTAGCATTTAGAGGTAATCTTCAGAGATAACTTATGGATCGAAATTGTGAGGTAAAAGGAAGGGTACGTATACAGATTGTGAGTAGGTTTACATGCATATTGTAACTGAAGTCTAAATGAGAATAAAAACAATATAAGCATCTTTTTTTGTTCAGTTTTCTTACATCTGTTCTTCCTTAATTACTACAATTAATTATAGGTACAAAAAGCCATGAGAGATTTTTTTGGCATTTTTATGGTCTGTTTTGCATACCAAATAGGTCGTGGATTCTTCATTGTGCAGGCAGGTGTGTATCATATTGGTTACATTCCAGATAGACAGAGACGACAGATTTTAGTTACATTCTTCATTAACGGTCAAATTCATATCATATTGTATTGACGACATATTTATATGATTTATTTTTAAGTAGATATAGAAAAGCACTGTTCCGACAATACAAGCTTCTTGGATCATATGCTTCCAGAAGTATTTTTTTTTATCAGGGATTTATTAGATTATGATTGTCATTATATTTTTAAGTGTGTTGTGTTTACCGTAATTGTGATAATAACAAGTGTTATCTTTAAGTAACCTATCTGTAATTTTAACAGTATACATTTATTATATGTAAATAACTTAAACTTTAAGGTTTAAAGTTAAAATATCACCGCATAAAAATATAATACTATGTTTAGATTGTCAAGACGATATATTTAATAATTGATCATGAATAAAAATATTTAATATATTAACTTTCAAGTGAAAGACCATAATACCCAAATAAAATAAGGGTAAAGTTTACAAATAGTTTCTAATTATAAGATACTATTTTGTTAAATCATTCGATTATTAAAAGTTATAAAATGATCATTCAATTATTCTTATTCATGCGACAAAAAATAATATTTAAAAAGTACTTGATATGAAATTCTATTGATTTTTTTGAATAATTTCTATATAGGGAGAAAGGGAGTAATTTTTGCTGGTATTGAACCCACAACTTAAAGAAAAAATGAGGTATAATT